CGTCAGAATCACCTGGATGGAATTTTAAAATATAAATTGCTTCACTGTACTTTCCATTACCTGAAATACTTGCTAGTTTATGTTTATGGGCTCTCTCCTTTCCCTATACATTCCACTAGAGCAATAACTTTGCCTGTTCACCAGCATATCCTCGCATTTGGTACAGTACCTGGAACACAGTAGGTACTCAATAAGTAATTGTTAACTGACCAAATCTTTTTATTAATTTAATTAGAGTCTACTATATCAAGCTTGGAGCCCTGGTGGCGCAGTGGTTAAGAGCTTGCCAGTTAACCAAAAGGTCAGCAGTTTGAATCCACCAGCCACTCCTTGGAAACTATATAGGGCAGTTCTGTGTCCTATAGGGTTGCTGTTATGGATTGAATTATGTTCCCCCAAAAAACGTGTGTCAACTTGTCTAGTCCATGATTCCCAGTGTTGTGTGATTGTCCACCATTTTGTCATCTGATGTGATTTTCCTATGTGTTGTGAATCCTACCTCTGTGATGTTAATGAGGTGGGATCAGCGGCAGTTATGTTAGTGAGGCAGGACTTAATCTACAAGATTAGGTTGTGTTTTAAGTCTATCTCTGTTGAGACATAAAAGAGAGAAGTGAGCAGAGAGACATGGGGACCTCATACCACCAAGAAACAAGAGCCAGGAGAACAGCACCCTTTGGACCCAGCCGGGGTCTCTGCACTGAGAAGCTCAAACTCCTAGACCAGGGAAAGACTGATAACAAGGACCTTCCCCTAGAGCCAACACAGAAAGAAAGCCTTCCCCTTGAGCTGGCACCCTGAATTTAGACTTCTAGGCCCCAAAACTGTGAGAGAAGAAATTTCTTTTTGTTAAAGCCATCTACTCGTGGTATTTCTGTTATAGCAGCACTAGATAACTAAGACAGTCGCTATGAATTGACTTGACGGCAATGGGTTTGGTTTTGGTTGTTATATCAAGCTTATCTCTATCACTTTTACTTGAACATAACCAATGTGCAGGGACCCATTTAGAAATAAGATGGTCATAGAAGCTGTGAAAAAATGAGAGAGAAAATGCAAGTGGAGGAGGCATCACCACCAACAGAACTCTAGCCCCTGATATCGACACTACTGCCAGGTATTCCATCCCCCGCCATCCTCCTTCTTCCGCCTCTCCTCCTCTTGTACTCCCAGAGAATCTGACACTTAAGAGTCTAAAGCAGTGGTTCTCAAGGTGTGTACCCTGCATTAGCAGCATCAGCAACACCTGGAAACTTGTTAGAAATGCACATTCTCAGGTACCACCCCAGACCTATTGAATCAGTCTCTGGGGTGAGGCCCAGCAATTTGTGTTTTAAAAATCCATCCAGGTGATTCTGATACATGCTGAAGTTTGAAAACCACTGGTCTAAAAGAATATCTTAAAAATATATTTCTCCAATGTACCTAAATTCTACTAAAGATTTGGGAGGGGTTTAAATTGCAATGAGAGAGTTTGGGTAGAGGATCACGTCATGGGAGAATGGGGTTTTGCAAAGCGGTTTATGAGTAGAAGCTCAGCCTGGATAAGCATTTTCAAGCTCAAGAGAAGAAATTGTTCAAATGCAGATATGGGTTTGAAATGAAGACAGTCGAGTAAATTTATTCATTTTGAAAGGGAGAATTAGATTGAGAGATTGATAGGGAGAATTAGACTAATCGGGAGGGGAAGGAATAGAGACAGGCTGAAAAACAAACCTGTGGGGTTGCAGGGCTTAACAGCAAAGAGTAAAATGGCAGGGCAGGGAGTGGAGAGCGAAATCACGTTCTACAGAAGTAAAGTGTTACATCGGGCACTAGCCATACACCAAGACAAACAGATGAACAAAACGCTAGTACTAGATAAGTCCATGGGGGAAAATCTTCTCTTCCTGGAGGGAAAGACAAATCTATTTGGTAATCTTTAGAATGCTTACAAAACCTGATAATTTCAGCCTCTACATAACCGATGATTTGCATCAACCACCACAGAGATTTCAGCCACGTTAAGGTAGTTCAACTGGTTCCTACGTTTTTCTCTCATGTGGATTGCTGTGTAGATCACCTGATTTCCTTATGGTTGGATCTGCTTGACATGGTGTTGGTTCACCTTTAGTTAATCCTAAGGATAAAATGTACTACAGTCTGGGGTCAGCCTGAAGTATGACTCCTTGGACCATCCACACACACGGAATATTCCTGCCCTTGGATACTATTATATGGTCATGTTCCATCTATCCACTATAATAAGATTAATATGGCTGACTTAGGAGGGAAGGCAGAGAGAGCAGGTACTTGACGTAATGACAATAATGGCTCTACAACAGAGATAATAATAGTGTTTTTGTGAGGATTAAAACATACAAAAACACTTAGCACAGTATTTGGCACAGGGGAAGTACTTTGTCTTAGTCATCTAGTGCTGCTATAATAGAAATACCACAAGTGGATGGCTTCAACAAAGAGAAATTTATTCTCTCACAGTCTAGTAGGCAACAAGTCCAAATTCAGGGCATCAGCTCCTTTCTTTGTCAGCTCTGGAGGAAGGCCCTTGTCATCAGTCTTCCCTTGGTCTGGGAGCATCTCAGTGCAGGAACCTCAGGTCCAAGGGACATGCTCCGCTCTTGGCGCTGCTTTCTTGGTGCTATGAGGTCCCTACAACTCTCTGCTTGCTTTTCTCTTTTATATCTCAAAATAGACTGGCTTAAGACACTATCTAATCTTGTAGACCTCATCAGTATAACTGCAGCTGATCCACCTTATTACATCACAGTGATAGCATTTACAACACACAATCATACAATACTGGGAATCATGACCTAGCCAAGTTGACAGACATTTTTGGGGGACACATTCAATCCATGACATGCTCAATGAGTATTAGTGCTTATCATTTTAGGTGGCTGCCAAAAGAAATTCTAGCCAAAACTTGCAAATGGATTGAATCTTGAAGCTATATAGACATATCCTTTTAACAGATGTGAAAGCAAATTTCACACTGACCCAAAAGACTTGAAAACCAAGAATCAAATAGAGACCTGTACACTGTTCATTGCAGTGCCATTCACAATAGCCAAAATGTGGAAACAACCTAAATGCCCATCAATGGATGAATGGATAAACAAAATATGGTACATACATGCAATGGAATACTACTCAGCCAGTAAGAGAAATGAAGTCTTGATACATACTACAATATGGATGGAGCTTGATGACATTATGCTGAGTGAAATATGTTAATCACAAAAGGGCAAATATTATATGATTTCACTTATAAAAAAGACAAGAACAGTTAAATGTATAGAGATCAAAGTTTCTTAGTGGTTACCAGCAGCAGGAGGGAGGGAAAAAGAGAAGGGTTATTGCTTATGGAGTACTGAGTTTTAGTTTACGGTGGTGGAAAAAAATCACATTGATTAAGGGTAGGGTTGCACAGCTAATTAATGTAATTGCTGCCAATAAGTTGTACACATGTAAAAGGTTAAATTGGCAAAAGTTGTGTGATATATTTACAACAATGACCAAAAAAGAAAAAAAGAGTAGCTGCTGAGGCTGCTTAGGTACAACCAAATATCTCACAGGTACAACCAAATATCTCACAGGATTTGGTTCCTTGGTTTGGAGGTTTAGGGTCATGGTTTCATGGAATATCCCAGTTAATTGGCCTAATAACGTGTTCAGTGCTTCTGTTCTACTTCCTAGCTCATTGCATAGTGCCTGGGGTCTTAAAAGCTTGCAAGCAGTGATTCAATTTACAACAATTGGTCTCTGTTCACCTGGAGCAACAGAGGAAGGAGAGTCAGTAATAAGAGGAGGAAATGGAATGTGTGGCTCGTTACCTCCATGAATAACTGCCTTCTTTGCCATGAGACCAGAAGAAATAGATAGTGCCCAACTACCATTACTGGACATTTTGATCAAAGATTCTGTAGAAGAATCATGATCAAAAGGGGGTAAATGCAGAATAGAATTTCAAATTCTCACAGAATCCCAATTATCTTGAGCCATGGAGGCTGAACCCCTGAAACAATTGCCCTGAATAATCTTTAAATCTTGAACCAAAAATAGCCCCTGAAGTCTTAACTAGCTTAACTAGTAAAGAATGTCTGCCTTGACCGTTGTACTTTTTTAAGATCTATCTACATGGGATCAAATTGACAACAGCAACTCGAAAGATGAGACATGAAACTTGGGGACACTGAGGTTATGTTAATAAGGGAGGAATATCTCGGAAAAGGAGGGTGAGAATGGTTGTGCAACTCAAAGAATGTAATCAATGTCACTGAACTGTATATGTAGAAATTTCTGAATTGGTGTATGTTTTGCTATGTATATTCTCAACAACAAGAATAAAATAAAGTGTTCACGTTGAAATTTGTATAGGGAATTCTATATATAATAGCTTAAAAATCTCTTAGGAAAAAAAGCATGAGATATTTTGTAGTCCCTGAAATTTCCCAATTAAGTTTAATAGATGAGTGTTAAATCAATTCAAAACGTAAATATCTATAAAAGAATCACAAGAAAACAGAAATAAAAATATACACCAAAGAACCACAATGTCATGAAAATTAAAAGCACCTGGAACATCTTAAGAAACTTTCACCAGAATTAATCAAATCAGGCTCTTGTATTACCGAAGTATTTTTAAAGACCTAACTTTATATTTCAAAAGTGATAATGGAACTTTATAGCATAAGTGTTATTTCCATCCCTTCTCAATTCTTCCCATTTTCTAGGCCCCAAACTCCAATTTCAACCACTCCATTAAAATCTTGGGTAATAAGAAAAATATACACTTACCTGATAAATTTAAATGATATGATCTGAATGAGTCAATCTAAATAATTCTGGCTAAAAAACAATCTTATTTTCTCAGGTGCTTTCAGTCTCAATTATTTGTATGCCTTAAACATACATTTTATTTTTTCTGTATAGAAAATACTTAGGATATTAATTTTATATCCATGCCTTAAATTATCTAACATTCAAAGTGATGATACCTTTCTTCCTTGAGTTGGGTAGGCATTCATGCTCTTCTTTGATGGAGACTTTACAACTCTTTATCCGACAGAAAAAGGATCGTCTTGAGCCAGAATACACAGGTGTCCTTCCAGTGTTGAAATTACCATGAACTTGCAAACCAGCTTTCGTGGCAGAAGTGGGCAAGATAATAGATGGAAAAGAATATTTTCAAATAATTGTGAAATTTATTTCTGAATTTTTTTTAGTTATCTATTACATTTTTGTCTCATAGTGACCCTGTAGGAGGGTAGAACTTCCCAATAGGGTTTCCAAGGCTGCAATCTTAATGGAAACAGATTATCATGTCTTTCTCCTACAGAGCAGCTGGTGGGTTCAAACTACCAACATTTCAGTTAGCAGCCAAGTACTTAACCACTGCTCCACCAGCATCACTATGAGTCGGAAGCGACTAGAGAGCACACAACAACATTACATTTTTGTATAAATTAAAAAAAAGAAATGATTTCTTAAAGCAATGACATGATTGTACAGTAAACCCCAAAGTGCAACACATTAAAAATGTATTTGTCAAGAAATCACATTTTGATGACTTATAAACACTTGTAATTTATGTTTACTTTTTCCCTAGAGAGTGAATAATAGATAAAATTTAAATAAAATGAAATAAAAATTAAATTAAAATGAAAAAAACTGAAATACAGCAGCAATCAATGGAACAAGCTTCATTATATTTGTATTATAAATAATTACTTGGAACTTAGCATTTTCAGAAAAGAAAAGCATTTTCAGAGAAGAGGTACTTTATACTTTCCCAGGCACAAGTATACAAGGTCTTTTGTACTAAGCAAACCTAACCCATATAAGAAAAAAAAATTATCTCTCAGCATATAGCTAAATAATGAAAATTCCAGCAATTTTTATCTAAAATAAGATACTTTCTTGAAAAGATTTTGTTAGCACACAAAAAATAGAAAATATGAATCCATCATAATTCCTCAAATCAAAGCATCTTCATATGAATATATGTTCTTACATGTGTGTATGAATACAGCAATTCTCTATACAGCTATAATGATATTTTTTAATTCTGAAGTTAAGGATTGTAAAGTTTACTAAATAATTCTTCTCTCAGTAAAACCATTATTAGCTGTTTAAAAACATCTTATAGCTGTACTTTTAAGTAATAATTATATTTACATAAAATGGTAAGTACACTGAAATGAGCACTTACTTTTGCCATCTCTTAATGTCTCTCTTGGTAAAATATCAGAAGAAGAAAGTTGTTCCTTTACTTTGGCAACATCTTTGGGATGTAAGAAGTCAAATAAGCTTTGTCCGGTCAAACTAGCCTATTTATAAGGTAGACAGATGTTCATTTAAAATGAGTACTATAACTTTTCTACTTTTCCTTATACAGACATGTGACAAATACTTTTTCTTTCATAAAACTTGCTTTTTTGTAAGTTCAAAGATACATCTACTGTACTGTGTAATATTAACTTAGTGCTAGAAGCAGGGAGATATTTGTAGATAGGAAAAAATACATGAATACAGAACCAGAACCAGATATACACAAACCAATACAAACACCTAATCATTAATGTTCTGTTAACGCTTGTCTAATGAAAAACATCCTCTAAATCACATCTTACTTCTAAATCATATTTTTTATTTACTTTTAAATTTTCTATTCTTCGTGAAAAGAAAGAGATAATATAGTACAATATGGAAGTATTAGAACATTGGTGATTTTATGGTATGATTCAAAGAGTTCTTTACTGTTAAAAAACAAAATGCAACCCAGAACACTTACCATTTCTCACCCCTCCCTCCCCCCATGCAGAGCATCCTGGGTCTATGCCTTTGCTTACAAGGTCTTATCACCTGGCATTCATCACCCTTTCTCTACAATGTCAATTCCCTGACCACTCTAGCTAGTTGCCTTTTACTCTCTAGATGCCTCTCCTGGCCCAAAATTTCTTCCTCCCTTTATCTGTTCATCCTAAATGTGTCCTTCTGACAGGCTTAGCAGACATCTCACCTCATGTGTGAGGCCCTCCCTGACCCACAGCTATCATCCCTCTTGCGAACTTCTTTATTACCCAAGTAGAGATTCCTATACAAGTAGTGTGGATTGCTTGGCAGTTAGATATCTCATACTAAAAAAAAAAACTAACAATTTGATTTATGCATCAGTCTATTGTGTGTTTGGTTAATGTAAGTCTATGCTCAGAGTATGACTAACTCTTTGTTTCAGAGCAAATCAGTTTTCTGAATTTAATGAGCTGAGGACTAGACCCTACATCATGGGAACCTCAATGTCCTCCTGAGCAGCCAGTGAGTCTCTTGGATGGCCTCTGAAATGCAAAGTCAGTGCACAGGGGGATTGGACTCCATGTCACTAATGTGAAACTTAAGTGCTATCCTGAATTGTCAGTTATCTTCATGTATGTATGTAGTGTATATAATGTTCTGTATCTCCCATTAGAAGATGGAATATTCAGGTCTTGTACTATTTTTGTGTCCTCAACTGTTGCATGATTCATATGGTTCTCAAGCCTTCTGTATACAGCCACATAATACCTCTTTTTCTGTTATTTATCTCATCTATGAATATATAATATTCTCCCAAATGTTTAAGTTTGTGAGGAAAAGAGGCTGAAGTTAGTGGGGGTTATTTAAGATTAAAGCTGTGCTCTATCTGACGTCTATTTTAAATGAGACCACGGGTGCTAGTTTCTTCCCTCTGTTGGATTAGTTTCAGTGCTATAGTTTTTAAATAACTAGCTTAAACTAAATTGTAATAAGGAGGTAAATAATTACCAAGCTACTTAAATAAAAGACATATTTTAGAGTTTGTTGCCAGAGATTAGGCCAAAAGCTGTTATGTAATACATATAACTTAATAATAAATACTAATGTTGCCTCTTGAAGAAGGAGAATTAGGAATTGGGGGAGGAAATGGAATGTGTGGCTAATTGCCTTCAGGAACAACTGCCGCCTTTGCTATGAGATCAGAAGAACTGGATGGTACCCAGCTACATTTACGGAGCATTTTTATCAAAGACTCTATATAAGAATCCTGATCAAAAGGGGAAGAATGAGGAAAAGTATTTCAAATTCTCTTGGAATCCAGAGTTTTCTGGAGCCACGGAGGCTGGATGAACCCCTGAAACTACTGTCCTGAGACAATCTTTAAACCTTAAACCAAAAATATCCCCTGAAGCCTTCTTTAAATAACAGTGTAGCTTAATTAGTAAAGAATGTCTGCCTTGAGCATTATGCTCTTTTAAGATCTATCTATATGGGATCAAATTGACAACAGCAACTTGAAAGGTTAGACAGGAACCTTAGCGGACAGTGAGTTTATGCTAGTGGAGGAGGAACAATTCTGAAGAGGAGGGTGAGAATGGTTGTACAACTTGAAGAACGTAATCAATGTCACTGAACCATACATGTAGAAATTATTGAATTGGTGTATTTTCAACAATTAAAAAAAAGTTAAAAAAAAAAAGACTAATAATGTTATGTCTTGGAGGAAATAGAGAAAGGTAGCCAACACTTCAGATACTCTCATATATGATATCACATTTAGTCTTTACATCCTAAGAGACAGGTACAATCATCATTCTCACTTTTACACAGAAGGAAGATTGAGGTTCAGTAAAATTAAGGAACTTACTGAAGGTCAGAAAACAAAAACCTAACCCAGTGCCGTAGAATCAATTCCAACTCATAGTGACCCTATAGGACAGAGTAGAACTGTCCCATAGAGTTTCCAAGGAGGGGCTGGTGGATTCAAACTGCCGACCCTTTGGTTAGCAGCCAAGCTCTTACCCACTGAAGGTCAGAAAGTGAATACTAATTCCAGTAATAAAAATCCATACTCTTTCCATCTCTCTTGGAGCTCTAACTTAGCAGAACCTAATTCTATATCTCAGTGGGAAGAAACAATTCAGGAAAAGCACTTTAAAATGTGTTTCTTTGAAAAATTAAAAATTGTGTAGAAAATATCCTCAGTTTTGGATACCTGATCATAATTAAGCGTTTTGGAGACTGATTTAGAAACGAAGAGAATTTTTCCTCTTTCACATCCAACCACAAATAGGAAGCCTTCTGCAGTCTAAGATTAAAAAAAAAAAAAGAACATTTTAAAATACCTTCTGTCTCACACAAACATACATTTATATTTTAAGGAAATTATTGTAGCAAAAGAACTAATGGAGTGGTCATAAATCCTGGTAAAAACAATTTCAAGAAATGTTCTTAAGACATAAAAATATTTATAAGTAACAATAAATTGAATCCCAGTCTAAACTAATGTTTTTGACATGGAAAGTTCAGCCAAGGAATATTCAGTTGGGATATTTCCTAATGTAAGAATTATTTTTACCAAATTCTACTATAGTCTATAGGAGATACTCTATAAAGATATCAAAAAACTTCAATAACAATGATTGCTTGTGGAATTGTTGGAGTGGAAGGACCATGCAGATGGAGGACGAGGAAAGGATGAAGACATTTATTGTATACGTTTTTATACTTTTTGGTATAAATTTAGTTTTTTGAAAACTAAATTTAAAAAATTCTAATATGTCAACTATTCCCATAAGGTCTACCCAATAAATCCTCACGAAACAATCTAAATGGTTAAGTCACAGAAGGCAGAGTCAACATGGCATTGTAGACAGAAGCACCATGCCGTCCCTCCACAGCAAAGACTCAAAAAACTAAGTAAAACAGAGACAAATGTCAATCCTGGAACCCTAACCATCAAATGAAGAGAAAGAACTCAGCCAAGCACTGAATGGAATAAGAAACTGACAGAGAACAGAGAGTAAGGAGAGATACAAGCAAAGGGCCCCTATCAGCTAATGCAGCATGGATTCACCATCTTGGACTCCTGGCAGAGATTGGTAGACAGGGAGTACAGGAAAGCAGCTTCACGGAGCTCCCAGCAGGAGACAGAGCACCCAGAAACCAGTGATATACGCTTTCCATCCCACACCCTTCTTCCCTTTGCTTGGCACCCGCCACTTCCTAGCTGGCTGTGGTTGCTTGGACAGCCGGGAGGCACTGGATCCGTGTCACTTGGATTGGCCCCGCCCATACCGGCCGGCTCCTTCAGTGCCATTTCTTTGTTGCTGGTGTTACTTTTCTCGGCTTCTTTTGGTTTCTTCTCTGCCTCCTCCCGCTCCTTTCACTCGAACACTTGCTCTGTGTGCCATCTTTGCTTCTTCTTGACAAGCTGTGAAGCATCACTTGGTTGGGGAACCACTTCCCCAGTTTGCGCCACCACATTGGTGGGATCCCGTTCTAGCTGGGCTGTACTGTGCAGCTTGGAAGACACTTCCCAGGTCTGTGCAGTAGCACCAGTGGGATCCCTGGGGGCCTTTCTTTTTTTCCATTTTTATCTAGTTTTTTTCTTTTCTCTTCTCCTTTTTTGCTTTTTGTTTTTCTTCATTTCTTGGTTTCTCGCCTCTCTCTGCTTTCCTTCCCTTCTTGGCTCCTGAATACCTGATGCTGTGTGCCATCTCCACCTCTTCTAGATGGGCTGTGCCTCGAGGCCTGGGAGCCACTTCCCTGGTCATCAGTGGGATCCCTGGGGTCATTTCTTTCTTTTTTATTTTTATTTATTTATTTTTCTCTCTTTTCTTTTTCTCCATTTCTCAGTTTCTTATCTCTCCACTCCAAGGGCAAGCTCCCTCAGCACTTTTTTTGTTTGTTTGGTTGGTTGTTTTGGCTCCTGTTTCTCTCTCTTCTCTCTTCTTTCACATACCCATCTTAGCTCCACACATCACAACCTCCCCCCTCCCACCTGCCTACCTGCACCATATGCTAAACATCACACCCCTAAGCAGCATAGGCATGGCCTACCAAAACTTGCCCTGCACTGACCCCCAGCCCACGCTGTCAGCCCCAGTACATGCCACAAACAACCCATCCAGCCCCACCCCTTCAGCTGGACCTGCCCTAATGCACCATAGCTGAGTGACTGGCTCTGCTCATTGGACAAGGAGATGAAAAGTATCGTGCCCACAGACGAACAAACAACAAAGAACACACAGCCTGCCTGCTCAGACATAATCAAATAAAACAAAAAAGCAGGACAAAACAAACAAATGTAAAAACAGTAAACAAAGAAAATAACTCCTGAATATCCTGAAGACAACAGACAATATCAAAACATATAAAAAAACAGGACAGGATGGTTCCAGTAGGTGTCCAAAATAAAACACCAGATGACTTTCCAGTAGAAGAAAAGGCACTAGAACTATCTGATAGGGAATTCAAATCTCTAATATTCAGAGCTATCCAAAAGTTGAAGGAAAAAGCAGAAAAAAAATGAGGAAAAAAATAGACAAATTCGTGGAAAATACAGACAAAAAAAATGGAAGAATTCAGGAAAATAATATAGGAACAAAACGCCAAAATAAATTAACAACTAGAAACAACACAAAAACAACAATTAGAAATCTAAAAGATAAACAAGATTTCAGAAACGGACAGTGTCACAGAAGGTCTGAGGAGCAGGTGTGAAAGAACGGAAGGCAGGATCAGCAAAACTGAAGACAAACACTTGGATACAACTCTGAGAAAAATTAGAAAAAAGAACAAAGAAAAATGAAGAAACCCTGAAAATGATGTGGGATACAATCAAAAGCAAAAATCTGCAAGTGATTGGAGTTCCAGAACAGAGGGAGAAAACAGAAAACACAGAGAGGATTACTGAAGAATTGCTGACAGAAAATTTCCATAATATCATGGAAGATGAAAAGCTGACCATTCAAGGAGCTCAATGAACCCTACATAGGATAGACCCCAAAAGAAAATCATCAAGGCATATCATAATCACACTCGCTAAAACCAAAGACAAAGAAAGAATCCTCAGAGCAGCTCGAGAAAAATGAAAAGTCACATACAGAGAAGAAACAATAAGACTAAACTCTGATTACTCAGCAGAAACCACGCAGGCAAGAAGGCAATGGGATGACGTATGTAAAACCTTGAAAGAAAAAAATTGTCAACCAACAATAATATATCTTGCAAAATGCTCAATCAAATATGATAGTGAAACTAGGACATTTCCAGATAACAGAAATTAAGGGAATATGTAAAAGTCAAACCAAACTTACAAGAATTATTAAAGGGAGTCCTTCAGTTAGAGAACAAACAACATCAGACCACAGACTGAATCTAGGATGCAAGACCGCACCAGCCAGATACCAACCTAGGAAATGAACTCTCAAGGACTATTCAAAACCAAAAGATTTACAACAGGGAACCAGAGAGGTTAATCTCAAATGACAACAACATCAGAACAATAAAAGAGGGAATAAACAGTGTAGGTATAGAACTTTCTAATGGAGAGGAAGGCAAGGCGATACCAAGTAATAATAGACTGGTTCAAAGCTAGGAAGATACGGGTAAATTTCAAGGTGACCACAAAGAAAGTTAACAAACCTACTCATCAAAATAAAGAAGAAACACATAAAGTCCCAATAAAAACAAAATCTACCAAAACAAAAGAAATGAAAAAATAATCCACAAACAAAAGGAATTCAGCACAGGAGAGTAAGAGGAACAAAGAAAACATCAGCACAAAGAAAAAAAGCACTACAAAATGACAGCAAAAAAATCACACCTATCAATAATTACACTGAACGTAAATGGCCTCAATGCACCCATAAAGAGATGGAGAGTGACAGAATGGATAAAAAAACAGGATCCATCAATATGCTGTCTACAAGAGACACACCTTAGAAACAAAGACATATATTTATTAAAAATCAAAGGATGGAAAAAAATACATCAAGCAAACAGCTACCAAAAAAGAACAAGAGTGGCAATACCTATCTCAGATAAAATAGATTTTAAAACAAAATCCACCATAAAAGACAAAGAAGGGCACTATATAGTGATTAAAGGGATGATCCATTATGAAGACATAACCATAATAAATATCTCTGCACCCAATGACAGGGCTCCAATATACGTAAAACAAACTCTAACAGCCCTGAAAAGAGAAATTGACAGCTCCACAATTGCAGTAGGAGACTTCAACACACCACTCTCAGTAAAGGACAGAACATCTGGAAACTCAACAAAGATACAGAAAATTTAAAGGTCACAATCAGCCAACTTGAACTCATAGACATATACAGAACACTCCACCCAACAGTGCAAAGTGCACATTCTTTTCCAATGCATGTGGAACGTTCTCCAGAATAGACCACATCTCAGGCGACAGAGCAACCCTCAACAACATCCAAAACACTGAGATAATACAAAGCATCTTCTGTGACCACAATGCCATCAAGGTAGAAATTAACAACAGGAAGGGCAAGGAAAAAAATTAATTACATGGAAACTGAATAACACCCTGCTTCAAAACCACTGGGTAATAGAATAAATCAGAGATGGAATCAAAAAATTCCTAGAATCAAATAAGAATGAAAACACATCATACCAAAACCTTTGGGACACAGCAAACACAGTGCTCAGAGGTCAATTTGTAGCAATAGATGGCCACATCAAAAAAGAAGAAAGGGATTAAAATCAAAACATTAGGTACACAACTCGAACAAATAGAGAACAGCAAAAGAAGCCCACAACCACCAGAAGAAAGAATAAAGATCAGAGAAGAAATAAATGAAACAGAGAATAGAAAAACAATAGAAAGAATCAACAAAACCAAAAGTTGCTTCTTTGAAAGGATCAACAAAATCATGAAACCACTGGCCAAACTGACAAAGAAAAACAGGAGAGGATGCAAATAACCCAAATAAGAAATGAAATGGGGGGCATTACAACAGATCCAACTGAAATAAAAAAGATCATAACAGAGTAGTATGAAAAACTATACCCTAACAAATTTGAAAACCTAGAGGAAATGGACAAATTTCTAGAAACACACTACCTACCCAGACTAAGACAAAATGATGTTGAAAATCAGAACAGACCCATAAAAGAGAAGAGATTGAAAAGGTAAACCATAAAAGAGAAGAGATTGAAAAGGTAATTTAAAAAAAACACACAAAAAAAACTCCCAACAAAAAAAAGTCCGGGCCCAAATGGCTTCACTGGAGAATTCTCTCAAACATTCAGAGAAGAGCTTACACC